TTTTTTGGGGTGCAAAATAACCCCCAGTCCTTTTTTGGGGAGTAAAATAACCCCTGGTTCTTTTTTGGGGGAGTAAAATAACCCTTGGGTCCTTTTTGGGGAGCAAAATAACCCCAGGTTCCTTTTTGGGGTGCAAAATAACCCCTGGGGTCTTTTTTGGGGGAGCAAAATAACCCCCAGTCCTTTTTTGGGGGTGTAAATAACCCCAGTCTGTTTCTGGGGGAGTAAAACAACCCCTGGGGTCATTTTTGGGGTGTAAATAACCCCTGGTTCTTTTTTGGGGGAGTAAAATAACCCCTGGGGTCGTTTTTGGGGTGCAAAACAACCCCTGGTTCTTTTTTTGGGGTGCAAAATAACCCCCAGTCCTTTTTTGGGGGAGTAAAATAACCTCTGGTTCTTTTTTGGGGTGCAAAATAACCCCAAGTTCCTTTTTTGGGGGAGTAAAACAACCCCCAGTCCTTTTTTGGGGTGCAAAATAACCCCTGGTTCTTTTTTTGGGGGAGTAAAATAACCCCTGGGTCCTTTTGGGTGCAGTTTTGGGGTGCTGGGATCAGTTCTGGGTGTGATTTTGGGGTGGTGGGGGCAGTTTTGGGTGTGATTTTGGGATGATTGGATCAATTTCGGGGAGCTGGGATCAGTTTTGGGGTGCTAGGATCAGTCCTGGGTGCAGTTTTGGGGTGCTGGGATCAGTTGTGGGGTGCTGGGATCAGTCCTGGGTGCAGTTTTGAGGTGCTGGGATCAGTTTTGGGTTCGATTTTGGGGTGCTGGGATCAGTTTTGAGGTACTGGGATCAGTTTTGGGGTGCTGGGATCAGTCCTGGGTGCAGTTTTGGGGTGCTGGGATCAGTTTTGGGGTCCTGGGATCAGTCCTGGGTGCAGTTTTGGGGTGCTGGGATCAGTTTTGGGATCAGTTTTGGGGTGCTGGGACCAATCCTGGCTGCCATTTCATGGCGATCCCCTCCCAAGCCGTTCCCTGGGGGGCTGGGGGTCCCTCAGGGGGGTTGGGGGTCCCCGCTGTGTTTTGGGGAGGGGTCTCAGGGCGCCCCCCGCCCCCTCCCAGGCCGTCTTCACCGACCTGGAGGTTCTGGCCGCGCTTTTCGCCGCCGCCATCCACGACGTCGATCACCCCGGGGTGTCCAACCAGTTCCTCATCAACACCAGTGGGTGCTGCCCGGGGGTCCTGGGGGGTCCTGGGGGGTCCTGGGGGGTCTTGGGT